TATCTTTTCTTTTTTTTTTCATCCGTTCCAAAAAAAAATTTACATTTCTATTAAGAAATCACTTTTACTCCTGCTAATTTTTAACTTACCTATCACATCACATTTAATTTATTCATTATTAATCTACCTATTAAATCTTACTTTTATATATTACATCGATTGACATTGGTAGAAACTCAACAACAAAAACCTCTAAAAAAATCAAAATTAAACCTCTCATGTTTTCAGGATACAGAGGGTATAAAACAAGATTATTCAGCTACTCACTGTTATTTTCTCATGAAACACATACGGAGTATAGTCCAATTTTAGGGCACGTTTGAGGAGCAAATTTGAAGTCATTATTCCGTATTTCTTCTTCTTAAAAAAAGGGTAAAATGGTGTCCGTGAAAACTGGGCAAATAGTTCGATTTTCAAAAGTCAAAATAGCACTATTCGTACTTTCCTATCTCTGTAAACCTAATCTCATCTGCCTCGATTTGCGTTCCAATGCTAATCATCTCCATGCATTGCATAATGGAGTAATTATTCTTTGGATTTATTCTAGTTTTCAATAATTTTTATTTCATATTTATTTCCATGTTTTGATTAATCAATTAAAAAAAAATATTCATGTCACATTTTATTTTATAAAATTCTTAATGCATGTAATTTTTAAATATGTAAATTTTTTTATTGCTATATTAATTAAAAAATAAAACACGGATCGAGTAAATTTAAAAATCACGGAGCTAGTTTTGCATGTTATTCGGAGAATGTAATTAGTCACATAATTTATTTATTTTTAATTTTGTAAAAAGAGTAAATAATAATTTAAATAAGGAATAGAGATCAGAGAATCATTAATACAGTAATAAAGTATAGAAGAGAGAGATGTAGAAGTGGTCGGGTCGGGTCGGGTAATAAGGCGGCCCTTCTGACTCATTCCATGTGGGTGGGGTTTTATGGTTGATAAAAAAGAAAATGGAAAAAAAAACAAGAAAATGGAAAAAGAAAGGAAGGATAGATTGATTCAGTGTACGTCCCACTTAAGCTCTCTTTGTTTTTATTATATAGTTTGGTGATGGCATGGAGCTTATATTTTATATATTATATAAATTAAAAAAATAACGTTCATGCATTCACCATGCATCAAAAGAACTTATTAGGGCATCATTATATATCTATCCAACCAATTTAAAGGGGCAGATCTAAATTAAACCATCTACTCTCTATATCCGTCGCAGGATTTTATTTTGCGACAGAAAAATAGTTACATTTTTTAAACGAGTTTTTTCGTCGCAAATCAACCTAGTGTTTGTATTTCGCGACGGGCCGATCGTGCGGTCCAATATCTAATCAGGTGCATTTTGTGCACTTTGAGACACGACAAAAAAACGTGTAAATTTTATTCTCTGATAAGTGCGTTGATTTATGCTAAGTACATACATATGTTAATCTATCTTCCATTGCTATTAATTAGCAAATATCAAAACCATTTTCATTACCTCTCTTTAGACTCTCTATTAACCAAATAATTGGGCTAAGGCATTGTCACATTTTGTTAGTTTGAGTATTAAAGAATGGAAGGAGTACATTACTGCAGGCTGCGTGTGTGTATTGCATCTAGCTTTTAAAAAAATTAAAAATAATGTTTTAATTTAAAAAAATTATCTCGTCTCTGACACAGTGCAACTAGTTCTCCATTATTAGCAAGTGACATTTTCCCCACATTTACGCCGTTCATTATTTATTTACTTAGTTTGATGGTGATATTTATATTTTTAATATTACAACAGAATTTATTCCTAGCTTTCGTCATACAAAAATGTTTCTACTTTCCTTTCTATTTGTCCTGAAAAAATTAGCTCGATTTTTTTTTAAAAAAAATGTTTTTCTTCTTTTCTTAAAATATTATGTTGCTCAATATATTTTTCTCGTATCAAACTAGTTTCTAATGGTTTGCATTTTACTACTCCCTTCGCCCTATAATTTTTTTACGATTTCACCTTTTAAATAAAATTACTATATGCTTTGACCATAAATATAATTAAATATAATTTTAAAAAATAAGTATTATGAAAGTTTTATAAAATTTACTACTCCCTCCGTTTTTTAAAACACTTCCTCTTTCATTTTTTTAACTTCCAACAAAACACTTCCACTTTCTATTAAAAAACCACTTTTACCCTTACTTTTTCATACCTTACCTATCACATCATACTTTATATCTAATAATCTATCCATCACATCTTACTTTTACCTATCACATCAAGGGCAAAATTGGAAGTCAACTACAATTTAATACTTCCTTATTTTTACACAAAGTCAAAATAGGAACACTTTTTCCAAACGGAGGGAGTATATTATACTACGAACTAAACTTTTTTTCGTAGTTCATGGTTGTAAAATTTAACCAAAAATTTCAAGTGTAAAAAATTTTCTCAACAT